CAAAGATCAGATTCATGCAGTGAGTGATGGCTCAGCATTCCTATCGGTATACTAAGCTTTGCAACCTTTCTGTTCTTCCATTAGCCTACTTTCGGCACCTCCAGAGTGCTTAATTTCACTGCTCAGGACAAGAGGACAGTGTTGTCTTATGGGACTTTGGAAATGTAGCTGCTGTCAAGCAAGAGTGGGTATTAGACAGCTTATCTGCAATAACTTGATGGGGAGAGTTTGGAGGTCAGAGGAAACATGCTGAAGAAGTGCTGCCAGCCTGAGCATAGTGATTTTGCTTTCCCTGCGCATTGGACCCAGGCCAGCTCGTTGTGAGGTTAAGGTGGGCAAGATGGTATTCCTTGCCATGGTGGGTACGCATGGGCTGGAAGATGCTAGGAATGAAGGAACCAGTAGGTTAATGTTGCTGATGCATTTCACTTCTCATGTATGATGTTACAGATAGTGGCAAATTAAATTGGGGAATCAATTAAATCTTTTCTTTCCACGCATGCCGTATCAGTTTTTCACAGGAGCCCTTTCCTGTCAGCAGAGTCTGCAGCTTCAGAAGCTCTTTTACTCTGAGCTTCTCTGAAGGGCAGCAATGGTTGTTTCTGTTTGTCAAGGAGTAACTCTAGGCAATTTTTAAAAACTTTTTAGAAACAATTTTATAAATGTTACTGGCTGGAGAGCTACTGCAGCTGCTGCAGAAGCAAACCCTGTTGCAGTGAAGATGGTGACGGGGAGAATGCAACTCAACTGGAGGTGCACCTTCTCTCACCATAGCTCAAGGTGAGAGCTGCAATGAGATGTCCCCATTTTGGGGGAAAAAAAAAAACAAACAAACCAAAAAACGCCCAACGAATAGGGCCCACATGGAGATTCCCCTGCTTCTTACCTTCCAGCCCATGTGCTTTTGAGGGAGAAAGGTCTAGTAACAGTCACTTCAGGACTGGCCGATTGTTGCAGCCTCAAGAACAGCCAAAGTAGAAACTTTCCAACAGTCAGAGGTTTCCAGCTTGCAGAGGACAGGCTGCCCTTGGATCAGTTGCTGTTGCTCTGATCGTCTCTGTTCTGCAGCCTTTTCACCTCAGTTTTCTTGATCCTATCCTTCTGTCTGCCTTTTCCTGTCTCTCTACTTCTTCTTTCAGTATTCTTTTTCTGTGTTTTTTCTGTCCTTGATTTAACTCTAACTGGTCTTTCATGACACTCAATAAGTAATGGCACTGTTGTATTTTCTGTTGCCACTGTGCTTTTTTGAGCTTTCCCTGTTATCTTTGATTTGAGATTCCTAGCTCTCTGAGAAAGGCTTTCACCACTCTGTATTTGTGCAATACCTGTTACAGTGAGACCTGCTTTTACTGTCTAATGACATGATTAATACAGCTAGTATGAATAAATGATTTGTTGGCATTAGGTTCCTAAATCAGGGTGGAACACTTTATATCTTTTCTGCAATCATTCCCTTCTTCCCAAAGAAACAAATAAATGCAATAAATACACAATAAATGCATAAATACATAAATGCAAGTGTCCTAGGTTGTTCAGCCTCAGGACAATACAGGTTCATTCTTATGTGCCTGTACATGGCTTCTGGCATCATGGTGCCTAGGTGGCTTATTCTCTGAAGAGTTGCATGAAGAAGTGGTAGGAGATGTGTGTTTTTCTGAGAGCGCTGGCATGGCTACTGTGTAAATGACTCTCACTGGGAGACTGAGGAATAAGGAATGAGGAGATTGCTTGTGGTGTGCCTTAGAGCACTAAGGACTAACCTCAAGACAAGCCCCTGGGAGCCAATTTTTTAGACCATTGTTTCACCTTCTGCCTGTTAAGCATCCTTCCCTTGTCCAGTGACAGTCTCCTCTTGCCCGTTGACTGCTGAACTGCGGATCTGTCAGAGGAGGCAGTGTTGCTGAAGTGACATCTCTCAGTCCGTAGAGAATTGTATCCCAAAAGCACTCTGAAAGTGTATGACAAATGGCAGCCAGCCCCACCGAGGGACTTTGTAGCGTGGAAATACTTAAGTGTACACACTGTCAAAGGCCAGCTGGGGAACTGCAGTATTTCGTCTTTCAGTTGACACTTTACCTTTTCCTTGCTTTACAAATGCGTTGAAGATGCTAGTGCTTCATGAATACCAAACACAAGGTGTTTTTTTTTCTTTTTTTGTGTGTGATCAATATGAAGATCTCAGTAGAGCACAGCACATCACAAATCTTTTCCAAGCGTTTTAACCACTCCCTTCCCCCTCCCCAAAGGCACTGGCCAATATCCCAATAATCAAGGCAATCACAGTGTAAAAATAAAACATTGCCAAGGCTCAGCTGTTACATGCTGGTGTGTGAACTAAGGAATGCAAAACCTCTGTTCTAGTGTCCATAAGGGGGAGACTGTGCTTGAAAAGCTCTGGTCCCCTGTTGTCTCCAGGATCAAATGCCTGTGGAGCAGCAGCTTTGCAAAGTCAAGTTCCAGCTGTTACTCAGTAGCCCAGGAGGCCTGTTGCCTAAAAGTATGCCCCAGGGACAAGATGAATTTTGAGAGACGGAAGAACAGCAAAGGCATATCAGAGTAGTTGATGCAGAAAAGCGCTGCTATTGCACAGCGGCTTGGGCCGGGTAGTGATGGAATTTCTCATAGCAGATGTGTGAGGAGGGACTATACCATGTGCAGAGCCTGGCCCCGGTAGCGTATGCTGGGGAGTAAGAACCTGGCTACACAGAACCAGGATTGAATCCAAGCTCTCCATGCTCCTCTGCCCCAGGCTGCCTGCAGGTTCAGGAAAACAGCTCTGCAGAAAATCAGGTTGGGAAGGAATTCTTCATAGTGAAAGAGCTCTCTTAAACAAATTAAACAACTGAATGTCTTCCTCTGGTCACTAAGGAGTTGTCCATTCGCCTTTAGTGAAATAAGGAAGGAAACTTGAATTCTTTCTCTTCCTTAATGTCTGTTGATTCTTACTGCAGTGGCAGCTGGTAGCTGTTTTTGCTTTCCCTGGGTGAATCCCAGCTGAGATTGCAGGTGCCGCTCCACTAGCTCAGATCCAAGCAGGGGCTTGTGAGCAGGCAGCCCATGTTGAAGTGCTTCACAGCAGTAGATACAAATGAATGCTAAATCTGTTCCCTGGTAAATGTTGGAACCATGTGAGTGCACTGAACCCCTCTGAGCTGCCAAACCTTCTGTCAAGCCAGAAGTTAAGTTGTTGTAAGTCTGTGATCCCTTTTCTTTCAATAGCTTGTAGTGTGTCCTGTAGGAGTGTAAATATGACTCCAGCCAGGCATGAAACATGCAACTTGAAAGCCCCAGTGTTCGAGAGGCTGGGTAATGGAGAGTGTGATTGTGACTCACAGGAGCTGCTTCTCTGGTTGGATTGAAACGGGAAGAGTCTGGGCATGTCTCGTGGCTGCCTGCTTGACCTCTGGAGAGAGGAGGGGTATGGGAAGCCTGGCAGGGGCCCTGCTGACTTTTCTGTACCGATGTAACTGTCAAGGCTGGTGAGATTGCAGAAGTTCCCCTGTGCTAAGTACGTGCTGAGGCTGTAGGAGCAGCTGCTGGAGCGACTGCCCCTGTGCATGGACTGCACCTGATGTGTTGATGAGGTGTGTGGCTGGGAATGTTGCAGTGAATCTGCAGGTTCTCTTTGAGTCTCTTTTTTTTTTTTTTTCTACTCTTCTCCCACTCCCACCCTTATCCACAGTGTTTTTCTTTACCTGTGTATTTGAAGAAGTAAGCATGCTTCCAGATGAGTTTTCTTTCCATGGCTTTCCACTTTCTTTCAGTGGCTCTGATAGGCACCACTGAATATCACTTACCAATGAATATCACTTACTCCTGGACTCGGGCACCAGCTCTTAGCTGTGATGAGGTCTGGGGAAAGCAGCAGAAAGCCCTTCTGCAAGGAGAGGTGTGGGGAGGAGGGAACCCATTAGAGTGCAACAGAGGGAGCTGGAGTGAATTTTCATGCTGATGAATATGAGAGTGAAAGCCCTGGCTGCTGCTCTGTAATTTGGCCAAGCAAGTGTTCTCCAGGCACAGTCAGTGCACATCTGTGCCGAGCACTGACATGGGCTGTTCCCATGATGAGCGTTTACCTCAGCAGTGGGTCTCATGAGTAATATCCCAACTAGACCAGCTGCAAACTTTAGCCCAGGGAGACTTTACTGTCTTGCCATCTGTCTTCTCAGCTGAACCTGAAAAGCAGAGGAAAGGCTGAGGAAATATTCCAGCTGCAATTTGATTTTTTTTCTTTTCTCAGTTGTTAATTTTACTTTCAGTTTTTGATTTTCATATCTGTCTCTAGATCCACCTAAAAGGGAAGGGGAGTATGTTGGTGCAGGCAGTGAGAGAAGTGAGGCAGAGAAGTAGGAGTCATCAGTGTTTCTGCTGCTGTGTTTGGGACACTGACCTAAGTTGTTTCTAACATTCTAAATTGGGGGGGAGGAGTAAAGTCATTACGGGAAGAAGTCAAAGTAGTGGCTGCAGTGGTGGATGACTACAAGTAAGAGCCAGCTACAACGTTTTCAAACGTAGCAGAAATCCAAAGCAATAAACCATCGACTTCAACATATCAGACAACAAAGTTCCATAGAGCAAAATATCGGGCAATACCAATTTTGGAAAGGATGAGGAGATGCAGTTCCTGAGCAGGATGGGGCAGCAATGGCCAGGTTTGCTGTATCTCTGCTGAAACACTGGGCAATTTGTAGCTTATTCCCAGCAAGGCAGCAATTCCCTCTACCAGAGCAGCCGACACAGCCCTGTATCTGCTGGGACAGATGCACCCATGCGTAGGGCAGTGCCTGTGCTTGCAATTTCCAGTGATCCTGTGACCGAATCGGCATTGGCCCCTCAGCAGGGAGCACGCCTTCGGCAGAGTAAGCAATCAACGTGGTGAGAGAGGAGCTACTTCTTGCAGGACTCTGGCTGCATGTGCACTCACTCAGTCTGGCAGGGAATTTCTGCTGCATCCCTAAGCTGTTCCTGAGACCTCTGAAAATTTGTCTCCTTTGTTTCAGAGCCATCATCAATCACTTCAACCCGAAGATAGAGTCTTATGCTGCGGTGAATCACATATCACAGCTCTCTGAGGATCAGGTAAGCCAGGCATGCAATAACGTTTTTTGGTGTTGCCCTCTGGAATATAGGCGTTGAGGAGTACCATGTGCTCACTGGAACTGACGATGTAGCAGCAGTATGAGGAGTGAAGGCAGGACTCGTGTTCCTTGTCAGATGTGGGCAAGAGGAAGAGAAACAAGGCTTGCTTTAGCCAGTTTTACCATCGGACACCATTTTGCAGTGTCTTTTGCACCAGTTTTACCATTTTGCAGACACCTTGGTCCAGCAAATGGAGAAGGATGGGTATGAACAGTGAAAACGTGGCATTGTCAGCAAGCGTGGTTGGAGACTGCTCTTTAGAATGCGGCAGGAAGTTTTTGGCAGAGAATTTAGTTATCGGAGAACTGTTGGGTATAGCTTGATTTTTCTGTGATATCAGAGGATTAGAACTCAGGCAACAGTTCGTAGAAATTTCTAGGGTAATTGAATTCAGTTGGTTTACATTTTGAAAGAGAAAGTTTTTAATAAAGTGGATGATAGGATTAAGTTTTGCTTCCTTATTTTGGTCTGGTTTGCTCTTTTTGTATTCTGCTTGCATTGTATAAATGTGTAAATATGGCTTTTTGAAAATAGGCTACTGTGTATGGTCTCAGGAAGGGAAGAGGTGGCCTATTTCCCAAAATAAAATATTGAGATTGTATGTTAATTGTAAACCTTTGGGAGAGGTAAATGATTCTGCAGGAGCCTGTGGTGGACCAAATACAGAGCTGCCATGTGAGCTGGGGCCATCATCCCAGATACAGCTGTGTCAACACCTCTGGACCTTCTGGACAAGAAATTTTGTGTGCAGTCTAGGACAGGCCTCATTTGAGTCACCTTGGGTGGTTCCTTCCACTGGATGGGATCCCATGCTTGTGCCTGTTAAAAGATCCTGGCTGTATCTTGCTCTGCAATTCATTTGTCTTTCTATATTTTTACTCATTACTTGATGATATCCTTCCATGCTTCCCACTAACCTTTTCATTTATTGTCCTACTTGATCTGTAATATGTAACACCCCAAAGTCTCAGGTTGAATGCTGTACTGGCACAGTGGGGAAAAAATGTGGACCCTACTGCTTTTTGTTCTCTTCTTTATATAGCTGGATAGAAGAACACTGGGTTTAATTTACTCAGTTTTTCTGTATTGTTCTGCCTCTGAGAGCCCATGTAGCCACAGCTATGCTTTGTGATGGTTCATGTTATCAATCCTCATTCATTGATGATACACTGATTACAACAACCCAGGCCCCTAAAAAAGAAAAGCCTTTGATAGCTCAATTAAAACTGGGGTCTTGGATAGAGGGCAATTTTGCATAGTCTTTGGGTTAGTCTGAGAAAAGAAATGAGCTTTTCACTGTTGGCTCTGTGTAGTATTCATCCCCCAGCAGTTCAGGGAGGTCAGGTTAAATCCTTTCTTCCTTGTGTGTTATTCTTTAAATAAAATCTCTAGCAGCAGGCAGATAATGAAATCAGTGCTGATGCATGGAGCATTTTGAGGAAGATGATTAGGAAGTTGAAAGACAGTTAGATTTCTCTTTTTTCTTTTATCCCTTCATGCTTTCTCTCAACATCGGGAGAACATCAAACAAAGCAAAGCAATAATAGGCCCTGGTGAACTGCAGAGAAATAAGGGAGATGTCACTGTGGTGAGAGGCTGTGTGGTCTCAGCGAGAGTGCTTAGTGCTCTGCAGTTCACTGCACAAGGAGGAGAGGGATGGAGACTTTGCCTCCACTTTCAATTAGCCAGTGAGCTCAGGTCTGTGTGTTGGGCTGTGGTTTCCCCTCTGTCAGTACATCCCATGCGGCAAGCGCGTGAGAAGTGATGGTAGATGGCCGAGATCAAGGCCGGAGTCTGGCTTCTGTGGGATAACGGAAGTTGTTGTTTTCATTCTGTGTTAGCTGTTCAGCGTGGGGTGGGGGGGTCAAGCTTGCCTTTTGACTCCTGCAGTCTCTCTTTTTTCTTTCTTTCCACCTGTACCTTTTATTTTTACATGTGTATTCACTTAATTCCCCTCTCTCCTCTCTCCATAAATATTTTCTACACAGAATCCACTCTCCTTTGTAGTCCTGTTTTTCAAAGTGTACCATGTTGAAATATTTAATGCTGACATTTAACTTGCCTATCCACACACAGATACTACATTTGGGTCTGGTCATTCTCTCATTTGAGCCATTTCAATAGTTTCAAGAGACTGGTGTTTCTTTACTGGAAACATTTGTTTTTACTGTTTTGAGGATCAAACTTTTCTTTTAATGAAGATTTCCTTCCCAGATACTAGCCTTTGGCCAGATTCTCATATAGCTGCTCCTAGTCCTCTGTGGTACCTGAGAATCTCCTATTAATCAGGCAGGCATGGCTTTGACATAGCTCTATCTGAAGGGGAATTTCCAGCTGGTCTGAGTTGCTTCTAATTCACTTGAACCTGCTCAGCTTGCAGACTCTTGCTTGAGCCTGTGTCAAACTTACTATGCTGCCTCCGACTGTTCTGACACCCTGTTCATGTGTTGGACGATTTTTTTTTGATTATTTTTGTATTTTTAATATCCTTGAAAGTAACTAAGTAATCAACTGAAAGAGGTTTTGCTCTTTTTCTTGTCCTAATCCTGTTGAAGGTTTTATTACCTTGTTAATCACTGATGTCCATTTATTACCATTCTCAATCTGTCATTTCAGTGCTTTCTCCTTTTTTATTTATAAGCATTAATGTTAACATTATTACACGCTGAGGTGATTTGTTGTCCCTTGAAAATGATGGACGTGGGATTGTTTTAAGGATAGACTGTTAAAACCACTGTACATCTTCAGCCCTAAAGATCTCCAGGAACCACAGTTTGAGTATAAAGGTGTGCGCTCTAGGCAGGTATATTTGCATGACTTCATGGTACTGCTTTGCTGACTATTGTGGGGTTTATCTAGTGTTTAGATCAGAAATACTGGGAAGAGCCCATTTTCTTTCCATATTCCCTTGAGTGAAGAGTGAGAGATTCCCAGGAGCAGGCAAATGCCAGGGATTTGACGATGAGCCACCTCAGGCTATCAACACCATGTGATCCTTGCCAGTGCCATTCTGCAAAGAGTCTGCTTGCCAAAGCAAATTCATAATCCTTCCTAGTCGTTAGCTATTTTGACCTTGCTGTAGTTCCTCTCCACGAAACAGGAAATGTCTTAGCCAGTTATTGGCATCTTCCCTCACTTGCTGATTTGTTAAACCTGGCTTCAGTGTTAATTTGGTTTTGTGGTATTCTCCCTCTCAACACATTTGGCTCCTGCCTGCATGTCCTTTAAGGTATTGAAAGTTGCTGCACAAGTCAAAAAGATAGGGTTGGTCATTAACTACCAGTGTAGTTTTAGCTCTTCCATGCAAGTGATTATTCCCATATCTTCAAAGATGGTTGGGTCCCTTCTCAAGTCAAAGGGCAAAATAGCCTTCTGTGAAATGAATTCGTAGGCTTATCTGTACTCTCCAGATGACCAAACTGCCTTGTGCTTAATACACTGGAGGCAGTAGACTTTCTCTATGCCATATCTGATCTGAGAAGCTCCCAATGTGTTTTCCAGCAGAAGCAGTAGCAGAGGACAGGATCAAGGTAGTGAGAAAACAGCAACACAAGAGTTGCTCTGCAAGGGCAAACACAGACAAACAGGCTGAAAACACAGGGCGTGAGTGATCTGCATGAGGTCTCACATCTGCCTTTTCTGGATGTGAAAGAGCAGCTGTTTGTAAGAAGGCGGCTCTCTGTCTGGTGGTGATGTAGCATAATTATTCTTGAGGGGCTAAAGTAAGAGGAACCCAGTACTTTTGGTGAAATCTCCTCTGAACAGGACTGCCTTGTAGTGCCTTGCATGCCAAGCAAATCTTGTGCCAGTTAGCAAAATCGCTTGCTAATGTCTCATTTTCTCTTTGGCACTTGTTTTTTCTATGATTTCTACTCTAAGGGTCCTAAAATTCAGATGACAGACACTTAGGACTGATGATACCTGCTAGTCAGGAACGTCTATGTGCTTTTTCCAGTAGAAGCCCTTCTTTCTTCCCAGCCGCAACAGGGACACTAGGTACCTCCAGTTTGGAGGAGGTGTGAAGTTCAGTGTGAAATACTGTTGTGAACACCTGTACTGTGTGTATTAGTCTGGTAACTGCAGATGGAAAGTGCTGGGAGCCAGATTGTGATGGAAAAACAGGACAACTGTATTGCTTTTGAAATTGTGACAAATGAGTGTAACACTTGGGTTGTTCCACATTGTAATACTTTCATGACTCAGGTGACTGCAATCTGGTTTGGTCAGGCAATCTCAAAAAGCTATTTCCCTTTCCTTGAGGTCATACTCCAGATGTTGAATGCTCCTCTCCACACCCCCTATCCATATGGCCTTTTGTTGCGTGATGGGGCTTCAAGGGACTAGTCCAAAGTGCAGTTCAGGGAGCCTCCACCAGTGACTTGCACAGAAAATCACAAAAGGATGCAGGTGGTTTTAGATGCCCTGAAGTACTCTAACTCTGAGCCATTGATGTCATAGTTTATTCAACTTGTTCTGGTTTCCGTAACTCGCAGCAAAACCACTGGCGGATACAAAATGCTTTGTTCTTTTTTAGCACAGTTGGCAGTGGTGTTGAGAGTTAAAAGCCTGTTGGCATGTGTGTGTTTGGTATTTTTAAAATGCCGAGTTCCATCAGTGCTAGGTACTACTACAATAACTCCCCCTAATCTCTTACATTAATGTAAAGTGTTGCGAGGGCTCCAGAAATACCTTTGCCATAATGCTACTTCACTTCTGAAACGCAGTGAGCCTTGAGGTAGAAAGTATCAAGCTTGCTAGTGCCATATTGCACACAATAGTAGGAATGTGAAACTAAGGGGTCACCAAGGCAAAGCCCCAATTTAAAGTCATCACATCTTTGCAAATGAGGCAGGGATGTTGGTTTCATGGTCTCATTACAGACACCTACTTGTGATTAATGGCTTGAAACAGATTTTTATTGTTTAAGTATAAAGAGCTGA